CAGTCCATCGGCCCCCAAGGTTTGTAGCCTGATTACCAAAGCCTGCCCATGAAACCACAACCATGTGCAATAATCTAATTACATCCGTGTTGAAGACGAGGTGAATGTGGTATCCAGCCCCTGCTTCAGGCACTAGCAGCCCCATTAGCTACTACTACAGTTACAATTTGTCTATAGTAGCCTATCTACAACATGCCCATGAACATCAGAGTGACTGTAGCAATAAATGCAGTGTTGTCATAAGCTGTTAAAAAATAGTGGAAACAAGTGGAAAAATCATTTCTTCAAAATGAAAGGGGGATATAGGGATGGCTTGAAGCACCAAAAAGGAAGAAACAAGGGGTCATCACACAGCAAAGTTGCACAAAGCTACATGACACCATCCCTATATCGTTGTTTTATTGTTTATAAGCAAAGTTTAATATCGAACAAAGATATAGGGATGGTGTCATGTAGCTTTGTGCAACTTTGCTGTGTGATGACCCCTTGTTTCTTCCTTTTTGGTGCTTCAAGCCATCCCTATATCCCCCTTTCATTTTGAAGAAATGATTTTTCCACTTGTATAATTATATACTTCATGTGTTTTGCTGTTGCCTTCAGTGTACAACTGTGATTAAAACTTTACTAGCATGATGTTGCTCAATAATTACAATGAAGTACAGCCATGGGATGATTTTGTCACGATTATACAAAGACTTTGCGAACACAAGGTCCAAGTTTAGTTAATCATAAGTAGATTTCAATTTCATCTTCCGGCATGCAGCCAGTCTTGAGTGCTATATATAGTGCGCGTTGATTTACGTACGGCATTCCGCTATCATGACTTGTAATCTGATTCTGCTGCTCTTTTTGAGCATTGCTGCAGTTTGTACAGTAGGTGAGGGACTGAGAGAGACTGATACATACGACACACTCAGTTTGCTGTCACTGTAGATGGAGATAACTCTACTGAGTGTGTGAGTCAGCAGGAACTGGCTGCTGTTAAGGCAGAGGTGGATCAGCTACACTCACAGTTGCACTACTGGCAGAATGCGACTGTCAACATTCTCAAGGACCACTGCTCCTCCATCAATACAGGTATCCCTGCTAGTCAGTGCAATAGCTTGTACAAAAACAGCCACTATACCCCGATTAGGTCCAGCTCGCGAGTGTGGAAGTGAAGTGACTGGAGACACTGTTCTGATGTCCATTGTGTTCAACATCACACAGAGTAAGTAGCCACATGTAGCTCTAGCTAGAAGGAAGTAGCCAAAAGGCACACATATTAATTTTCCTGAAGCTGCAAGCATTCACAAGCAACCCATTAGTGGTAGTGGACATTAACTGGTCTGCATATCGCATTTGCTACGTAATTATGCGTGTCTTAGTCATGCTCTTTCATTGTGGACCAAACTGAGATGTAAAGGATTAGCTATACCCCAGCTGCTGTGTGCAATGGTATAAACTCTAGCCACAGATGACAATACTGAAATAAAAATCTGTCGCTGGGTTAGTTAGTCCTCCAGTAAATCCTTAATTTCAGTATTGTCATCTGTGGCTAGAGTTTATACCATTGCACACAATAATGCAATATGCTGCTACGGTATATAGCACAATGTCAAGACACAGTTGGAACCTTCCGAAACCCAGCAGACAGCTGCAACCAAATTCTCCTTGACAATCCTGGAACAACCTCAGGTAAATTGACTGTTAGTTAATCTAAGAAAAAGATGCAGTTCTAAACATGCAGGTTACTACTGGCTGCAGAGATCCCCTGGCTATGCAGTGAAGGTGTTCTGTGATATGGAGAGGGTGTGTGGGTGTGATGAGGGGGGAGGAGCGTGGATGAGAGTGGCCGATATCAACATGACTAGACCCAATGAGAACTGTCCAGCAGGGTTCAGAAAGGTCACTGCCTCTGGCAAGACAATGTGTGGAGGTCAGAGTTCACGCTGCATCAGTACCACTTTTGGCTTACATGGACTCCAGTACAGTCGAGTTTGTGGGAAAATCATTGGATACCAGTTTGGAAGGACAAATGGGTTTGCGAATTACTCTGACTATGGTGGATCTATTGACAATATCTTTGTCGATGGCATAGTCCTATCTCATGGCTCCCCACGTAACCACATCTGGACTTTTGCTGCTGGAATCAGTCAGAACAGAATTGATCAACATAGCTGTCCCTGCAATGGTGCTTCCTACAGTGGAACTATACCACCATATGTTGGCAATGATTACTTCTGTGACAGTGGGCATCGCTATAATAGAGAGCCTTCATTTACACACCTAACCAACGACCCACTCTGGGACGGTGCTGGCTGTGTTAGTGGCTCCTGCTGTACCTTCAACTCTCCTCCGTGGTTCTGTAAGAACTTGTCCACACCAACTACTGATGACATTGAGCTACGGCTCTGTCTGGATTCGAATGTTAGCAATGAAGATGCACCGTTTGAAATAGTGGAGCTCTATATTCAGTAGGGCCTTAATATTCTGAACACAGAACATTCTGTAGCACATTATAGCTGCATTTAAGGTGTGACACATAGAAGTTGGCAAAATATCTACCATTAATTTTCATGAGGGCAGGGTTGATGGGAGTGGCTGATATCAACATAATACTAGACCCTATAGAACCTCAAGCAAGGTTCAGAAAGTGACTAGATACACAATAAGATAGTAGGTGCAATATTAATTCTATATGCATTATGTGAAAGTCTGCTAATTACTTGACTAAAAGTCCGTGAAATGCCACAATACAGGAAGACTAGCCAAAAACTAAAGTGGGACTAGGTGGATGGTTGTAGTTGTTGATTCACATATTTAGGGCCAAAGCTATATATGACTTTTAAAATGCTACACCATTAGCTGTGGCTCAAAACCTTTTAGTAGAAAGTATCTGTAAACTTCTTCTATAATGACATTACGAGACTCGATCGCACATTAAAACAACAAGGAAAACAGTTGACTGAGGTCTGGAAGGTGTACATAGCTACATATTATATATAGTCGTAGAGTTGATATGAACAGAAACTCATGTGCTAAAATACCAATTAGATCTGGCTGAAAATACAGAGGAAGTCAGTTGGTGGTATTGGTATATGTGTGCAGTACGTCATAACGATGGCTATTTCCATCGACCTGTCTTACTGAGTCCCATGATCTTCCCCAGTCTCTGTTTGACTGTGAGAGGTTTGGACTTGGGCTTGGAAGCCGCCAGAGCCGCACTCACTGCACTGGCTGCAGCTGAAGGTTACAAAAATAGTACAAAGTTGTATAAAACAAAAAAAAAGAAAGGAACGGTGTTTATATGAATGCAGGTGAACATAAAAAAGGTTCAGATTTCACCATAACATAAACTGCTCTATGCGATGCTCATACGTGCACATTCCCGAGTTACAGATATTTCAAAAGAGCAAAATTCAGACCACAAAGCCACTTCACTTAACAGTTAGTGTTATAAGTCACTGTGATGTGCATCATGGAGAAGTTGTAAACAAATGAAAAGGTACATTCTGTACATCTTCCTAGTTTTATCCAAACATTTTGATATCATTGCCCGTGTTATCTGCATGTTTTGCACCAACGTTCCTGCTGGATACAGTTTAGTCTTCTTTGAAGTTGAAAGGCATCAATAAGAAACTTTAATTCCTTTTTGTAGCTATCTAAATGTTTGCATAAAACAGGCGGAAGGTATTTATCACTTGAACACTGAAAGGCATTGAAAGTTACATTTATCGATAATTAACTTTCAATGTCTGACCTTTATATAGCTGTCTAAATGTTTGCATAGTGCAAGATAGATAATATTGGCAATATTAATTCATCACTTTACAAATGGCATCAACTTCAAAGTGTAACCAGTGTGTAAAACATGCAGACAACAGCTGCTACCAGACATGGTCCATTAATGTGCTGTGTTTAACCCTCGGCGCGCATGCGCAGCGAGGGTTACTGTAGTTGTCGTGTGTGTCATTCTGTCAGTTAAGTGAGAACTCACTTCTCCAGTCGTAGATCGCGTCCAAAACGGGTTTACATACCCAGCGGCCGACGGAGGTCAGAAAATATGTGGGATTTTCTCTGAAACTGCTTCGTTGCAGAGCTAGAGCGTTTTCCTGTTCGTACGGTACGGCAAGGGCGGCCATTTTAACAACGCGCATGTGTGTATGCACCAAAACGCATGCGACTCCGAGGCGGCAGGCGGCCAAATCGGCGCACACCGATTGGGACCACGTGGCCAGCAGCCATTGTTGTCCCTCATTTCTCTGTGTAGACTGAGAAGACGGTTGAGTTCAGTAAGTATGCCTCCAACTAAGGCATTTGAATTGTAGCTCACTAGGTTAGGCTTGGGAGGAAAGAATAATCTTATCTATGAACCTAAATACAGCACCAGTAAGTACAACAATTCTACCAGACCTGGTGATACCATTGCCCCACCCATTACTTTACATAATTGTGCGTGTGTGTTCACTATCATCACTGCGCCGAGGGTTTGCACTTCAGTGCCTATAGTTCGGCATTGCACTGCGTCTGTAGACGTCTGTCTGGAGAGATGAAGGGCTGGCCGTTTTTTTTTCAACCTTGGGTTTTTTTTGCACTAAACAATCCACGGGTAATACGAAAATTAATAGAGAGATTAAAGGTTGGCAATTTTTCAACGTTATATATATTTTTGGCCTCAAACAGAAATAGGGCTGGCCATTTTTTTCAATCAAACGGTGCATAACATGCTGTTCTTTTTGATGCATGGTCAAGACCATCAATTGTGGTGGTGCCACACTTGTGTATGGGTTCCACATTTCTATATAGTGTGCCGAGGGTTTGCACTTTAGTGCTTTTCATTTGCTTTATATGAATATATGAACAGTACTTTAAATTGAATAGTGTTTCTGCTTTGATGCCTATGAATGCAGTTCCACTATATTAATTATGCATGTACGACATTTTTGGCACGCGGCCATCAGAGTTGCACACTATAGTAAAACCAATGAGCAATGAGGCCCACTCCGTCCACGGGCATCTCTAATTATCGCTCGCCAACTATAGGGCCCACTCACCAGTAGCTCTGGCTCTCTGTGAGTTGTGAGAGAGAGGAGAGTCAGTGGAGGATGAGGAGGAGGGGGTGGGGATGAAGGATGTGGTCTCGGGTCTCACAGCCAGCGATCCTCCTCCCAGAACTGGATCTGTGGCCCTGGCCCCTCCTACCAGCCCCGCCCTCCCTCCAGACTGCTGTCAGTGGAGAACAAACCATAGGAGACTAGTCATACACTCTACCCATGCATGGTAAGTGCTTACCAAGGTAAATTCTTTTCACTATAGCTGGAAACTTTTAAGAGGGACGTGTTTCAGAAGCAAAAAATACTTTCGCAAAAAAAGTTTGGTGGTTACTGGCCCCCCTACAAAATTTCCTTGCCGTATCCCCCCATGAAGTTTCATGCTAGTATAAAGCATAAAATAACATGGGAAACAACATAGAAATCAGGGAGGCTATAGAGTATTTCCTGCACCAGCACTTTCAATAGCATTGCAGTCTTCTCGGAAACTAGTATGCACTACTCCCCACATTCATTCAGTGGAAAGCTCCCAGAAGCTAGTACATAATTACATCACTAAGACTGTTGCTGCGGTCATGTACGTGTGACTAACAGGGGGAGGTGTTGGTGTCGGTTTCTTGTCGTCGTCCACTCTGGCCATCTTGGCTGAGCTGGCCGACAGAGATCTGTCAAACGAATGTTTCCTGACGTTCCTCTTCTTGCGAGAAGTGCTGGCCACGGAGCCTTTCACCAGTGTAACCGGACCTGATATTAGAGAGTAACACTGCATTCAACCAGAGTGATACCCACCTACATATTACTAGAACGAACGCCACACATTTTTGGTGAGCGAGTGCGAGAAGTTCAATAATTGAACTTCTCGCACTCGCTCACCAAAAATGTGTGGGAATCACGTAAAACATTAGCTATGTATGTATGTGCAATGCCATCACATAGAAAAAATCCCTCACTCAGACGACTAGGTCGGCTCTCTTTGCTCACCAATTCAACAATTACTATGTCATATATCATATATACAAATCTCCGAAACTATTTCTGATGTGCACGTGTATTATGCCAACAGAAAGAGTCGTGGTTGCTCCACACGTACACAGTGCCGATTGCACAGGGACCATTTCACATCAGCTGTAGACTCAAACTTAGAGTTTTGTGGAAAAGAGTGTGTCTTGCAGCAGCACGCAAGGTACATACAGAGCAGAATGCACCAAAGTAAAGCTTCGTGAATGTGAAACCGTTTGTAAAATCCGCTAGTGAGCACTTAATGCTGCGAAAAATACCAGAGAGCTTTTGTCACAGTTATGCAGAGTAGCATGAGTGGAAAAAAGCAAGGAAAGGGTTACCCTGAGGTCTCCAGAGGTCATCATCGTCTTCATCAGAGCGTCTCTTGTGGCCTTGTGTGGACCCTCCATCTCCCATCATCCCTGAATCCTCCTCACCTTCCTCGTCAACATACGCTGTGGAGAACAGATGCAGGCAGAATTGTCAAAATGGTGATTTTTTTCAACGCACACACGGAATAGCTTACCGCATGCAGTGTGTTAAACATCGTACAATTTCTAATCAGTCAGGCAGAGTCAGATGTGCATACAAACTGCTCACAAGAACATTAGAGGTAGAGGCTACCTACGTAGGTAATGCATCTTTGTTTGACCCGTCTTTAAAACAGTGCAAGTCTATCCACAACCCCTTCTATACACAGCTTTCCAGTGCTACATATTCCAAAAACAGTCTTCTATAAAGGAGAAACTCTTCCTCTACTGACAAGACAACCTGCACTCACTTGCACATCCTCCTTCATACATTTCTTCCTCGTCCTCCTGTTCAATCTCCCAGCTCTCCTTTTGGCTTCCCCTTCTCCTCCCCTCCCTCCTTCTCCCCCACTCTCTCTCCTCCTGTGGCCACTAGCCATCACCACCTCCTCCCTTCCTGCCTTCTCCCCCCTCTCCCTCCCTCCTGTATCGGTGGTAGAGTCCTCACCCCCAGGGTAAGGGTGTTTGTTCGATGAACTGGACACTATCTTTGTCTGCGGCACTGCACAAGTCAAGTGGCCAGATTTATAGCTGGATGCCATTTGAGTATTGTCAAAGACGTTGTATATACCTGATAATTTCATGAATATTTTCTGATCATCTTCTTTTGTCCTATAAAACAAGAATGAGAATTCCTAATAGGTCACATGCTAGAGAATCTTCCACACATCAAAAGTATTTAGAGTAAAGTGGTGATGGACATATCAAAGGCAAAGGAAACAACTACACCCAGGACAACTTTTTTCTTCAGAAGAGCTGCCCTAGGTGGGATTCGAACCCATGACAATCTGCTGTCTAGGCCAGCGCCCTACCGACTGAGCTACACACGCACACACAGCACGCAGAGCTGACTTCAGACATCAAATGTAGGAATCAAGCTCAAGTGTGTCTCACGTGAGGACATGACTGGCAGAGGTAGCTAGTCTCATAGTCAGAGCCGTCTTCTGCAAATCGCTCCTCAGTTTTGAGCCGGGGGACTTGCGTGGGGACTTCTGGGGAGAGCCAAACCCTCCCGGCAGCTCCTTGCTCCGGTCAGTCTCCTGCTGGGCCAACACCTGTGGAGACCACACACACAGGGAGAAAAGAGGAACAAAGAAGAAAGATAGTGTGTCTTATAACAAATAGAAGGTGTGCAGTGAAAGCAGTTTTATGAGTCACAGTGGAAAACAGTGTATATAGCCTAAACTTTCTTTCGTACTGAGACCTTCAAGGTAGTATACACACTGACACTGTAGTGATGTGGTGTGAAACGAAGCATCAGCACACTACCTCTAGTTTGGAGACGGTCCCGGAGAGCTGTTCTATCAGCTGGCCATGGTTTAGGTTGAGAGGTATCTGTGACTGATGCTTCTGCAGTATCTGGAACAGCCATACATTGTACAGAGCCATCACCAACACAAGGAAATACTATCTTCTATAGTAGACGCTTTGGGTTTACAAAGTCTTTTTTGTATTATACTATATACGAAAGTCAATGCATTGGTGTGCTTGCTGGTAAGTGAGCTGACTTCTTTGGTCCGAGTCCAGGAGCCGAGTACAAAGGCCATCTCTTTCAGTCCCTCCAGCAGATAATTAGCAGGGACTTCCCCATTGCTCCTCACCTCTGCAAAATCACACCACGTACTAAAACAAACATTACGTACATACTTTCATACAAAGTTACAGTATTCCCCCCCTACCATCAAATGTACGCAAGTATTATACACACAAACATCCCACCAAACTGCTAAGTGCAGATGCGAGAAATAAAAAGTGATAGCTACCTTTGATTTCCTTCAGGAGATTTTGAGCAGCGAACCAAGTGAGGACCTCGTAGCAGGGATGTTGGAACTTGAGTGGAGTCTCCAGACGAAGTTCCATCTCGTACACCCTGCATCAGGAAGTGGAGGTTCTGTAAGAACTAGCCCACACCAACTACTGAGCTACTTCCCCGTCTGAGTGAGGGTGTTAATCATGCCATGAAGATTCAAATGTAGATCTTTTAAGACCTTGTGTATACTGATGACATTGAGCTGTCTCTGCAAGGATGAGGCCCTTAGCAACAAAGATATATTCTTGGAAATATGTAGTGGAGCTCATTGAGCTGGCCACTTGCAACTCAAAACTGGTTTTTAGCCTATACATCTCAAAAGCTGATGACCCTACCGTAATTCCCTATCAGTAGTTATTCATAAGATCTCTTAACAATTGAGCAAAAGCATGTCACAACTAGGTACGATTAGTGGATATGACTAGCTGAGAGAATGATAACTACATACACTGCATATGGCGATGACTGAACTTCTGAGTGAAGGAGCTGCCTACTGCAAGTACTTGACACACACTCTGTACTGTATCTGTCAGCCAAATATCTCACAATGTAGCAAGAACCAACATGTGTGTAGGATAGAGTTTTCCCTTTGAAAGAGCATTTTTGTATCCTGGCCAAATTTCAATTAGTGAAACTCACTATAACATACTGCATTACGGTTGAGTCAGGAAAAAGCACTACAGTTTGTATGTTACGTAGTTCACTGTGTCGCACTGTGATGATAGTAATAGCTGGTCTGGTGTTGCTGCTCTCAGCCACCTCAGTGGTTGGCACAGGAGGTGAGTGATTGAGAAACTGATCGAGAGAGAGACACACAAGATGTTAGTGGATGTTCTACTGCAGATGGTGATGACTCAACTACTGAGTGTGTGAGTCAGGAGGATCTGGCTGCTGTGAAGGCAGAGATGGAGAGGAAAGTCGACAAGCTTCACTCACAGTTTGACTACTGGCAGAATGTGACTTTTAACATTCTCAAAGACCAGTGCTCTTCCATCAATAGTGGTATATAATAGCTATTCACTGCCAGTAGTATACATGAGCAATGAATCGTGACTAGTTCAGTATGTACATGAGTGCTCGTTAAAATACGTTTTATATAGGTCAATCAGTGACACAAGACAGACATCCTGTTGGTTCCTTCATGTACCCTGCACCATCCTGCAAGGACATCCCGCCCTCGAGTCCATCGGGACACTACTGGATCCAGAGCACATCAACGGGCTATGCCACATCGGAGTACTGCCACATGTCCCCTCCATGTAGCTGCAATGCTGTTCCAGGCTGGATGAGAGTATATAGCTCACCTTAACATGACGGACCCAAATGGACGCTGTCCCGATGGACTAACAGCTCTGACAGAAAACACTCAATCTTTCTGTCACAGAATAGGATATGGCTGTTCTTCTGTTATATTCCCTGTTCATGGTGTGAGGTATAGCAGTGTCTGTGGGAAAATCATTGGATACCAGTACCATCAACCCAATGCATTTGGTCCGTATTTCATTCACTGCTCTCTGTTGATTTCACTATCGATGAAGGCTACCTTGATGGCCTTAGTCTGACTCATGGCCAATCACCTCGTTCCCACATATGGTCATTTGCCGGTGCTATGGATGAAACACGATCTAACCTGTGGGTCTGTCCCTGCACGGACACTGGTTCTCCTTATACGCGAATTGTTCCGCCATTCATTGGTACCGACTACTTTTGTGCGACTGGGAGTCGTGACGTTGCCACTGATCAGTGGTACACAGACGATCCACTCTGGGATGGTGAAGGGTGTGGGAAGAATAGCGCCTGCTGTCGGTTCAACTCACCTCCATGGTTCTGCAAAGACCTTCCCGAGTCTACCACGGATGACATAGAGCTTCGTGTGTGCCACAATGAACCGGAGACCGCAGAAAATGTTGGTGTTGAGATTGTCGACATCTTCATTCAATAGCTGATCAACAATGATTGTCATCACAAACATGTAGTAATTAGTTAAGTTTTGCCTGTGTGGCTTGGTTCGTTATAATTGCTACTAATTAAGCCAATCAGCCAAGCAGGGCTGACACCTATTGTATGAATCTTAAAGAATGTACCAAAACATGTACATGTGGAAAGCAAACATATTATTATGGGTACTATAGCTAGAATTGAATGTTTCTGCTATGGCCCAGCTGTGCAAATGTTTTTTAAATGCAGTAAACACCTTGTGTTTTTAGTCAAACTGTTTATCTTCACTTTTGACCGCAAAAGAAGAAAACACATCCAGTTGGAGGCTCTACAAAAGTCTGGGCATGTTTCACTAAAAACATGTTTATCAGTACAGGAAACTGACACTAGAGTCACGTAAATAAGACGTGACATATGTCTCATAGCTATGGCCCAGCTGTGACAACATTCATAAAATAATCGTTTCACACACAGTAAAAGCCTAGTCAATCCGATCGTTTCACTTTTGGCCTAACCAGAATAAAACAGGTCTAGTTGGGTTGGTGGCTACAGAAGTATGGACAAGTCTCGCAGTGTGATAGCTGGTCTGGTTCTGCTGCTCTCAGCCACCTCAGTGGTTGGCACAGGAGGTGAGTGACTGAGAGATAATACACAGAGAGAGACACTTGGAGGTACATACCACTGCAGATGGTGATGACTCAACTACTGATTGCGCAACTGAGTGTGTGAGTCAGACGGAGCTGGCTGCTGTGAAGGCAGAGATGGAAAGTAAATTTGACAAGCTACACTCACAGCTACTTTACTGGCAGAATGTGACTGTGAACACTGTCAACGATCACTGCTCCTCCCTTGGTAGCAATCCAGAGGTTAACTGCATTCAGTTGATCTTTTACCAATTTTTTGTTTCAAAGGTGCGGTTAGTGAAGGTGCCAGCAAGGTGGCTGGAGAAACAGTCTTGGTATCGACTGTTTTCAATATCACTCACAGCAGTAAGCTGACATTAGATCGTTTAAACAAACATTGAGGGGTTTTTTACTAGGCAGTTTTTTTTTGCTCATGTCTGCTAGCGGATTTTATGCCTGCATAAGATTGTGTCGTCCCCATGCGCTGGCATGCTGAACCTCTAGTAGTAAATTTACAGGGTATGATTAATAACACAAAGAAAGATTGGCAACTACACATTGTGTATAGCTAAGAGATTGATAGTTTTATGTATCCCACAGATGATGATATAAAGGAATATCTTAACAAACGGTTGGAGTCACTAGAAGAGACTATAGTTCAACAACAGTGTGTTAATGATATAAAGTCATACCTTAATGTGAGTTTGGACTCACTGGAAGACACTATAATCCGACAGCAGACTAATAAAGACTTTGTCGACCCAGCACACAATTGTAGCCACATTAGACATTGCAACCCAGGAGCTACTTCAGGTAATGTTCAAAGCATAGCATACCCAGTTGTCAGAAATAAATGAACACAGGTTACTACTGGCTGCAGAGCTCCCCTGACTATGCAGTGAGGGTGTTCTGTGATATGGAGAGGGTGTGTGGGTGTGATGAGGGGGGAGGAGGGTGGATGAGAGTGGCCGATATCAACATGACTAGACCCAATGAGAACTGTCCAGCAGGGTTCAGAAAGGTCACTGCCTCTGGCAAGACAATGTGTGGAGGGCAAAGCCGATCATGCATCAGCACCACTTTCAGCTCACATGGACTCCAGTACAGTCGAGTGTGTGGGAAAATCATTGGAATTCAGTATGCCGGCCCAGACGGATTCGATCCATATGGTCTACAAGGTGGATCAATTGATAGTATCTTTGTTGATGGCATAGTTCTAACACGCGGTTCCCCTCGTAACCACATCTGGACTTTCGCAAATGGAGTCAATCAGTTCTCTAATCGATATGGCTGTCCCTGCAATGTTGAAGACTACAGTATAAATTTACCATCGTATATGGGAAATGACTATTTCTGTGAGAGTGGGTACCACCAAGATGTACACCCTCCATCAAACTACTTTACTAGCGACCCACTCTGGGACGGTGCTGGTTGCATCAGTGGCTCCTGCTGTACCTTCAACTCTCCTCCGTGGTTCTGTAAGAACTTGTCCACACCAACTACTGATGACATTGAGCTACGGCTCTGTCTGGATGAGGCTCTTAGCAATGAAGACGTGCTCTTTGAAACAGTGGAGCTCTATGTTCAGTGAGCCCTGGTGTAGAGACTATAGCTAGCTTAAACAGTGTGTGTGTGACTAACATTTCATTAACTGTGCACAATGTGTTAATTAATGGTTCTGCCAAATCTCTTAATCACAAGACGGCACTATTGCGCTTGTACGGAGTGATGCGAGGGATAACATGAAACACACCTTAGATTATTGGATACCAGAGAGCATTTTTGCTACACCTGTTGTTGCCCTGACTCACTTTAGCCTTCAAACAAAGTAAAAGACTTTCATTCGTGAGAAAGTCTACACAGCTGGGTGCATGCACCCTCAGAAAGATACTAGCTAGTCTGGTTCTCTAAACATCACAGTGCCGACACTAGTTTGAGGTGCTCTGTTCTCTGGGAGTCAGGTGCAAGTATTTTTCCAAAGGGTGAAACATGGCAGCAAATTATACTATAGAGTCATAAAACTTGTGCAGCAAGAACTATTGAGTGCATACATTGGGAAGGTCGGAAAAGAGAAAAGAGTTCATATATGCATCCTTTCACTGCAATAATATACAAGGCGAGAAGATTCATCAATAGAGAGCTGAAGATCCAAATGTACTCTTAATTTGCAGAATGCACCAAAACATAGAGAACTTCTGTAGCCACCAACTGGATGTGCATGTGGAACAAAAACATGTTTAGCGGTACAGGAACCTGCCACTAGAGTCACGTAAATAAGACGTGACACTTCCTCTGCTTGCTATGGCCCAGCTGTGCCAACGTTCATAAAAACGTTATGCACACAGTAAACACTTTGTGTCATTAGTCAATCTGCTTGTTTCACTTTTAACCTCACCAGAATAAAACAGGTCCAGTTGTTGGCTACAGAAGTATGGACATGTCTCGCAGTTTGATAGCTGGTCTGGTGTTGCTGCTCTCAGCCACCTCAGTGGTTGGTACGGGAGGTGAGTGACTGAGACACTGATACATTCACAGAGAGAGACACACAAGATGTTGGTGGAGGTATTATGTAGCTACCACTGCAGATGCTAACTCTACTGAGTGTGTGAGTCAGCAGGAGCCTGGCTGCTGTGAAGGCAGAGATTGCGATGAAAGTCGACAAGCTACACTCACAGACATCAACTACTGGCAAGGGGTGACTGTTCAACAACATTTCCAAGACAACTGCAAAAACAGGTACCACTGCCACCACTTGACTTGGCTTAGCTACTGAGCATTTATTTTTTTAATATACGGGTGGTCACGAGCCTGAATCCACCATTTCACTCACTTGGTGCATTAAAAACAAGAGTTGTTTGTGGCATTACATAAGGCCCCTTGTTTTCATGATTACTCACATTAATGTGTTAAGTAGCTTACACAATGTGGATAGGCATAGTCTATCTAGCAATAATACCACTGCTAATGCACTTAAACTTTTTAACTGTACGCAGTAGCAAGCTCTTCTGAAAAACTCTCTGGAGTAGTGGGGCATTCACAACCCAGCTGTGATTGGTGCCTCAGCAGCTCTTCTTGCAGTGATTATTGTTCTTATACAGTCGTCGTCATACAATGTGTACTCCTCGTTAAAAAGAAGAGAAACACTGATGACCCATGTGGCTACCAAGAGTAGCACTGCTCACAGTGAGACATATCCAGTGGACGCGACGACCAGCAAAAGTGACTATGTCACAACTCAATGAGCTTATGGAGTAAACAGTAACACATGTATATACACTCCCAAGTAAAATGAGCAATTGTGAGCGACTGAAAACAAGGATTGTGTATTTCATGCCGTGTAATTCTGGTGTGGTTGTGTTCATTTTGTCGTAATTAACTTCTCATTAGTGATATATAAATTTTGCCCAAATGAGGCACCAGAACTTCCACGACTGGTCCACAGGTTAGGCAGTGAAAGTGTTCTGTGATACGGATAAAGTGTATGGGTGTGATGAAGGGGAGTTGGGAGGGAGGAGGGATGGATGAGAGTGGCGCGATGTCAACATGGTGCATGTTCACACTAGAGCCTAGAATAGTCCAGGTCTTCTGGCACAGGGTGCGGGACATCAAATTATGTGACTAGATATTCTAGAGTCAAAATGAGCATGCGTGCATTTCTCTCCCTACGTTACTTAGTCTCGTGCCCAGACCGCCCTCTCTTGAGGGCGGGGTCTGGGCACGAGACTAGCCTATATCAGAGGAGGGTCGGTTAGCGGTAGACGCTCTATAATTAACCCTCGGTGCTCATGCGCAGCGAGGGTTACGGTACTTGGTTCGTGTGTGTGTGTACGTGTGTGAGTGTGTCTGTCCGTTCGTCTGTTAGCTACCACGTTTTCTGCAACTACGCGCAACGAGACAACGAAATAGCGACACGAACAGGTTCATCGCTACACTGGCCTCATTTAAAAAAGGCGATTTTGATATAACTTCTGCGTTCAATTTATGGCTTGAAAGTGCAATACAAGCCAAAATGCAAATAGCACAGGCTTACCTCGACCGCGGCCGCTCGCTCTGTGTATCATGAGGCACAAGAGTCACAACAAAGGGTATGTATCGACTCCCGCATGCTATCTACTACTGTAGCTAGCCCGTGGCAGACTCTCCGCGAGCTACTAGCGGGATACAACAAAAAGCTCAGCCCATCAATTAGTGGAACCGCGCATGCGCAGTTCGCCGAGGGTTTGCACATCATCAGTGCTTTTAATTATGTAAGGGGGATATGGATGGGCGAATGATATCTCACGTGATCCGCGTACAAAACGCCTCGAAACTCGCCGCGCCTAGCTATGCCTGAAATACACCAAAAAATCCGTCACGGGGTCATATCTACCTATACGTACATATGCTCAAGTTTCATACGTTCCTGCAATTCTCGACACGAGAATCTGCTCATACGCGATTTCACGATTTTCGTGTCATTCTTCTTTAGACCCGCTTTCTCCTTACTGGAACAGGTTGATGCGCTGAATTTCTCACTACACCTGTCCCGCGATTAGATGTGCATCATCGTAATAATTATATTCATCACAGTTGGGTGTAACCTCAACCATTCGAGATGAGTGGTTGCTGAAATTCCTTTGGCCCCTGGAGAGGCATAGTTGTAACCAGACCCTTCTCTCCCCCTACATCATCTTTCTTTACTCACAACCTCAACTGTGATTTGTTATTTAGTTTACATACACCAATAAGGAGTGCCTACGCATTCTTAGGCAGAGCTAAAGAAAGAAAGATGTAGGGATGGATGTATGATATTTGTTTTTTTCAGCTGAAGCATCTTTCTTGGTATCCTTTTTCATAATTTACGCCACCCTAACATTCCCTTCGTTTGAAATGTTTTTCCGCTTGCTATAATTATACAAGCCGTAAGCCTTACATCGCGCTTTGTTGGGGACGATGAGAATACGGAAATAAACGGACAAACAATTACTTTTCATTTCCCCCCCCCCTTAATTCCCCCACCCCCCCTATTCCCTCACCCCCTCCCCCCCCCCCGCCCCCCCCCCCCGCTTATTCCCCCGGTTCCCATTCCGTATCTCCCCCACTCATTCCCAGTACGTCCCCACATTCCCCACCACCTCCCCCCGCCGCATTGTCCCCCCCCCCCCATTCCCCAGTTCCCTTCGCGGTGGGGGGAGGAGAAGAGGAGAGGAGAAAAAATAAGAACCCGACGGACCACCAAAGCGGCCCCCCCCACCCCAGGCACCCCCCATTCCTAAAAAAGAAGAACCCCCTGTCCGGCAGAGATTCCAACCCCCTGTCTATTACCCCCTACAATTTCCGGGGGGGACCCCGGGGGGATCATTCTTGGGCGCGTAAATGGAGTGCCCCAGCCGCCCCCCCCGTCCGTAGGAAAAGTCCCCCTGCTTCTTCCGGGGCAACCCCCCCGCCCCGTTGCGCCAGGCTGACCTCCCCGAAGCAGCCCTCAAAGAAGACGCCAACATTTCCCCCCTTTCCTCATTCAAAATTCCCATTCCCCCCCCATTAATCCCCCGTGTTCCGTCCATCAACATCTAATTCCCCCTAACCCTCCCACGCCGCATTCCACCCCCCTTCGCCCCCCCCCCCCCCCCCCCCCCCCACTAAATCTCCCCATTCTTCCCCCCCCACCCCGCAGACGCCCAATTATCCCCACAAAGGCCCGTTCAAATACCCCCCACAACACACAAACACGAACACACCCCACCCGACCCACCCCCGCCGCCCCCGAAAAAAGCGGGTCAGGTTTAGCACCAAAGGCCCAGATGGAAAGCCGGCACGGAGAAAGAGCATTGAGGGACCCCCACAACGAGCCCCCGAAACAAAACCCTAACCCTAAGAAAAAGAAGGGCTTCCCACGGGACCCCGAAGGGGGGGGGTCCCATTCATAAAAAATTTCCCCCAATTCCCCCCCCCCCTATTCTATTCTACCCCGCCCTCGAATGCCCACCGCGTCGGAACAATTCCCACCCCCCTACGTCCGGTTCACCCCCCCCAAAATTTTCAAAATTCCCCACCCATTTTACATTCCGCCCCCCCCCCTATCTCCCCCCGCCCCCTCCGATTCCGCCACTTATTCAACGCGCCCCCCCCCATTCCATTCCCCCCGCCCCCCCCAGCCCCCCAATTTCCCATCCCATGAGTTTCCCCATATTTCTACACCCTCCCCCATTCCCCCATTCCCCCGCCCCCGCCGCCCCCCCAATTCCCCCCCCTCCCCCAAATTGCATTCCCCCCCCCCCACCCATTTCCCCGCCCCCACCCCAAATTCCCCCTAAATTCCCCCCCCTATTCCTCCAAAATGCCTTCCCCCCCCCCCCCCCATTAAATTCCCCCCCCCCCACTTCCCCCCCCCCTTATATTCATTCCGGCCCCCCAATTCAATTCCCCCCCCCCCATTCCCCCCTCCCCCCATTCCCTTCATCCCCCCCCTATTCTTCCCCACAAAAAAAATTCCCCCCCCCCCAATTCATTTTCCCCCCCCCCCTTCCCCGGTAAAATTCCCCAGGTTCCATTCCCCCTTCC